GTTCTGAGTACGGTGGAGCTCCTTCCAAATCTACTGATTTGGAATCTGCCACAGAAAACAATGTCTTCTGAAGTGTAGTTTTCTGTATATACAGAAAGCAAACTATATAAACTGTAAAACATTATATAGAGACTAGAACATTATATAGACACTCAAACATATACATACACTAAAACATAAATAGTAAAGCATATTGGATAAATAATAAAGATTATGTGTGTATGTCTATATACATATATATATCATATATATACATTTCATATATATATGTATATGAAAAGTTCCCAGCCTTTCTCAAAGAAGTTTTTTCCTGGTGGACTTGAACTGGATGTTTCAATATTTCCTTTCCATCTGCTCATGAAACAATCAAGAGCCATTGCTTTCATATTAATACATTGTCACCACTAATTATTTATATAAAATGGAAAAATGAGGGAATTAGGAAGAAACGTTGAGAGGAAACGAAAGACTTTTGAGAGTCAGTATTGGAAATTGCTCAGTAAAGCTGTTTGGAAATATATATATATTTTTTTAGAAATCTTCCAATTTATTCTGGAGCTGGGAAAATTTCAGCATTCCAGAAATGAAAAAGGCCACCTGTTTGTCTGCAGCTGTCCTGCAAAACAGCTTAGTGCTACTGGCAACTAATAATATCTCCAACTCGCAGAAGTGGCATGCACTTGGCATTTTGTTCAGTGTTCTGTGCAGACGTACAGCTTGGCTTGCTTTTGTTTTCCCCGAGTTTATCTGTATATCTCATCCAGGCCGTGCAGTAGCACATCTGACGAATGATGGTTCTGCAGCGATAAGCTCCAGGTCTGATTTGCAGCACGGATACAGTGAGAATATTTTGTATACTATTGTGGCAGATGAAAGGAATGGAAGTGGGCCAAATTCAAGCTGTTTGCTGTTGCATCTGATCAGCAGATCCTATGGAGAGAATTTGCCTGCTGTGAATATTTGATTCTCACTAGCTTGAACTATCTTGTGTGTTGGCAGTGCTACTGTGTGAATTTGCGGTGGCTTTCCAGGGTGTCTGTCCTGCACTGCTGCCAATTTCTGTGGGGTTTTTTTTACAGGGTTCAGGATTTTGTGCTCCATTTCGAGTGTAAGGAAAATGACTTAATGCTGTGCAGTAAACATCTTTTCATATTTATAACACATGGGTTATCAATCTTATAAAAACAAGGAAAAAAAAAAAGATTATAAATGAGCAGTATATTTTTGCCTCCCTCCACCTTTGTGGAGGTGTGTAATCCCTCTGCCTCCATTCTCTCTGCATTACCTGCAGATGGTGTCCTGGCAAAGTGATTTGGTAGAGTTGAGTCTGTCAGGTTACAAACCAGAAAGGATGAAGAGTTGATGGTATTGAAGTGCAGTTTTAAAAGCAAGAGCTGCTTTCCCTTCCTTCCCATGCATCTTTCCAACTCAGTTCTCAGGGAGTGACTGCCCTGCACCCCTGTTTGTCCATCCCTGCTCCTCCCCACCCCTTCTTGCTGGTTTGTGGCTGGCTTTGCCTGAGAGTTTGTAATGTTTTGTGTGTTGATTTTTGTGAAATTCAGTAAAGCAAGACATTCATAACTTTTTTCATTTCTAATACTTATAAGTAAATGACATTGCTTACAGTGCTGATCTAGCAGTAACTGTCAGGACTCTGCTTAGGCAGGCAGAAAAGGGCTGGGGTTTAACCTATCAGTGCATCCTGTATTTGTGCCCTCTGCTGTCCCCACACTTTTGTGGTAACAGTTTGTCTTCTGTAAGCAGCCTGTTTAGTTTATGTCACTGTATAGATAAAGCATGAATAACATTTTATAGATTTCTATAGATTATAGGTTAGTAGATTTATAGATATCTATAAATCTCTATATTTACAGATATAAAATTTTGTAGATTAAAAACCAGATAAAATTTGCAGAAGTTTAGGCTATAACCTGTAAGCTCACTGTTCCTGTGAAGGACAAAAGTCAGAAAAATATTTTCGATTGAATAGTGGTATGGGCTGAAACTGAGAGGAGACAGCATGAGATAGTTGCAGGTCCTCTGGGGCTGTAGGCGATGATGTGCTGACCAAGCGACCAACCCTGTGTCTACTCCAACTCTGCAACTGCAGCAAGTAACAGCTGAGAGAAAGGCAGTATCATATCCACTTAATGTGTTGAGGCAGTTGTGCAACAGTGCCTTGTAGGGGCTGCCAGAGGGAATGAGTTCAGGTTGTGTGTCTTCTGAGACCACTGTAAGAGATACCACCCTGTGAGCTGAGGCACAGCAGCTGGCCGCACTGCCATCCTTACCATTGCAGCGTGACCCATTTGCATGACCTATTTAACTCTGCCAAGTTTTAAGGAGCTGGGCATGCACATTAGGTGTGTGGTTTCAGTCACTTATTTAAAGTAAGGATGTTTTATATCCATTGCTGCCTATAAATCTATTTCTTTTCTCTTTTTTTGGCATTGTAGGTGACTACAAAAACCATGTAGTTACAGCTAACAGATACAGAACTATCATTTCTCTCAGAAAATGGAAAATATTAGCAAAATTTTCTGAGAACTGAAGAAACCAGGACTTGGCCTATGCAAGGTCTAGTAATCCTGAAAGAAAGCTTTGAAGGGAGCCGGGTCTTAACAGTAAGACTCCTTTCTCCTTTTAGTGGCTTATGAGTGTTTGTCTCTATAGTCTCAACAGAACTAACACGTACAAATCTCCAGTGTATTGGAGTGAACTAGGAAAACTTTAGTTTTGCAGTAGTATGAGATACACTATTGGCTTGGGGTTAGGCAGCGTAGGCGGGTTTACCTGAGTATCTGTAATTTGAAAACAATTTCTTTGTTGGCTTTTTTTTTAATCCTTTTAAACAAATCACCATTTTTAGGACCACTGGGAAATAAAAACTGTGAGACCGTTAACAAAACCAAAAACTTTTTAGTGCTCAGTGATTGCATCTTGTTGGCATGCGTGGTCATTTGTGCCCATAGAAGATACCAGCTTTCTGACAAATTGTTTGGGGGATAGTGTTAATGACTGTTGGCAAATGCTATTCTTACAATGACCATCAAAATAAAAGCATGTATGAAAACAGGCATAGGCTGGTGGCACTGGGAGTTTTTTGAGTAGTGGGCATTTGTTCATCAACAGAAGAACTGAATTTCCAAGCTACATGACTGCCAAATGGCTGATATTTTTTACTGCTTCGCGTAACTTGGATATGAACTTTTGGCATGAAGATGGATGCAATTAGTTACACTTGGAGTTCCCTCTACTTTGATTGTTTTCTAAACCTATTAGGTTACTCTGTCCTGTGCTTCCTGTATATTTTTGTTAGGAAATGTTGTTAGGGAATTTTTTTTTTATTTTTTTTTTTAATGCTTCTGCATTTTTATTAGTTTTACACATTGTTCCACCCACCATTTGGAAGTGACCAGAATTGTCCTCCATCAAAGCCTAAACACAAGAGTTATTCATGATGCAGTTGGAAAAATTATAATGCAAACTGTAAGCCAGATGGAGAATTTTACAAGCATCTTTTCATGTCATGAATGATGCTGTCTCTCTGCGTTATGGGCTCTCTGCTCTCTCAACTGCTGTTCCTTTCCCGCATGGCTCCCCTCCAGAGCTGTTAAGTTTCAGCCAGGGGAAAAAAAGGGAGATCTGGACTCCTCCAAATTTCCAAGTCTGTATTTCTTTGCGGTGCGGCTGGTGACGGCGAGCTTTGTGTGCAAGAGTGCTGGCATGCAGAGAGCACAGCGATTAGCATGCTGATTGCTGCGCCCCGACAGAATAAACAGGGCTGCTGTCGCCGAGCTATGGCCATGCCACCCAAACAAAGGCCCGGGAGCAGATATGGGGAGAGCCCTGCTCACGAATCCTGCTCTGTTTGGCAGGGTGGGCAAGAGCTGAACACTGCCCAGGCTCCTCTGCTTCCCAGATTTTACCGAAATGGAGGTCTCTGCCACACACTGTGGTTCTGCTCCACTCTAACTCTTCCCATGGCACCTTACCTCCAACTGGAGTTTTGAGATGAGAGGCCTCAGAGAGTATCAAGCTGTATGTTGCATCCTTACTTGTCCAAACACCTACCGTTGCAGTTGCTGTTCTAGTGGTGTATCTGCCTAAAACCTTGTTGTCTACTGGCCTTCAAGTTTTATCTGCATAAGAAAGATTCACTGGTTCTGTAAAAGGGGGCAGTGTACATTCATAAGTTTAAGTAAGTATAAACCAAACATTAAATGTATGTGCACACATACTGATTTAATCACCTCCGTGCAAAACTATGTGTCATCACTCATATTTGGTTTGAAAGAGGCTTATATCAGTTTCTGCTTAATCTCTCCTAGTTGTTTTTATTTTTTACACTCTGAAAATTGTAAATCCTTCCTAAAAACTGTTATAAAATTGGTGTTTCTTCTTACAGACAGTGGTCACATAAAGTGTAGCTGCAAGCATTTTATTAGGGCAGAAGGCACCTGCTCTCTTTTCCCAGTGGCTTCTGGCTGGTTAAGGTTGGAGAGGCAAGAGAGCAGTTGTGTTTACTAAGAGTAACTGGCTTGTTTGTATCAACATGCAAATGCTTTCTGAACAAACTGCGTGCATAACTGGCAATAGGCTGTTTCATACCTGCCCGTCCTGCTCTCTTCAGAAATCCAACCTTTTTGCCCAGTAACATTCTGCAGTTGTGTTGGCAGCCTGCAGCAGTAGGTGGGGAATTTAGCAGGGTTTTTCAGTTAAAGATTGCCAATATCTGGCTTTGGAAAGAGAAAAGTCAGCAAGCTTGTTGTAGTTACACATCTTAAAAAAAAGTTTCATATTTATCTGGTTTTCAAACAAAACATGTACTGACTTCTAAAATTATGTGACTGGAAATGTATTTGGTTCTTCATTTAGCTAATGATACGACTGTTTGTGAGCTGTTACTGAGTTAGGGAGAGATTGGTTTAGTAGGGTTATTTTTTTCGATGAAGAAGAGTTTAAAATTTGGGTTTGTTTTATTTTTGGTCTCTTTTCAGGATAATATCATCTTATTCTTAAGAGGCTGCAAAGAGCTGGGACTTAAAGAATCTCAGCTTTTTGATCCCGGTGATCTGCAGGACGCATCAAACAGAGTAACCATCAAGTAAGTACAAGAGCAGTTTGTGATTAGCATGTTACAACCTCAGATGCGTATGATGCAATAGCGAATAGTTAAGGATGAGCAAAAAAGGCTATAGAACTGTCATTTGTATAAAGCAAATAGGGAACTGAGGTTCGGGAAACCTTCAGCGCTGGGATGAATACACTGTTCCCTTCAACAGGCTTTTTCTAAGGGCTGTTATTTTTCCCAGAGATACTAACCACAGCTCTTTTAAAATACTGGTTTAGTTAAACAATGAGATTCTGTGGGACTTAGGGGTTTTCCTGAGTCTGAATTGATGGCATTCTTTTTTGTCTGTCCAACTAATGAACTATGTAGGCTGGGGAAAAAAAATCACAGCTCTGTTATTTCAGATTAAACTGGTTTGAAGATGCATTAGAGGACATTTATAGGCCTCTCAGACTCTACCAGGTGCAGACATCAGCACGGTCTGTTTATTGTCTAACAAGAGCGATAGCCTGGGACATGATAGTTGGGCTGAAAATGTCTGTGAGAAATGTGTGGACTGGAAATGCAGTTTAGATACCTTTTCATGGAAGCACACACCTACTGCCACACAAAGTACCACATGCATTTTAAGAGGTTCTCCTTCCTAATAGCTAATTATTTTTTTTAGAGGGTGAAGTCATTTTTTTAAAATCTCCTTTTAGTTGACAGCTTTTTAGCCACGGTATGTACGCATCCTCACTGCAAAGAGTATAGGTGCTTAGACTCTAATGCTTGTATTTTTAGCATTTCACTCCACAAAGTGATATAAAATATAGGTGTGAAACTGGCACAGAAAAATTACCGACTTCGCACAAAGTAGGCTTGAATCAAAGTCCATATAGTCATAGATTGAGGTCTTGATTCGGAACTGTTGTCCCTTTCAGGGAAGACTTTGTTGTCATGGACTAAAGGAACACAAGCAGTCAAACTGTGGTTTATTCTCCTTTATATTAATAGTGATCAAGCTCCCCACCCCCCAAAAACAAGAGCACCCCACATTTGCATAAAACTAACAAAATTTGTGATTGGTGTTATTTAGAAGTTCGTTTGGGGGTTTTTGGTTTGTTTGTTTGTTTGTTTTTTTTTGGTGTGTCATGTAATACTGAAAATTTACTGCTCTACAGACAAGCAAATACTTCTGAGTTGATTGAATGGTCTTGTTTCATTTGGCCAAAAAGATCACTAATGAAACCCTGGTCAGACATATCCATTTCAGAAAAGTGTATGGAAACAATTTTCTAAATTTCAGCAGCATTCTAGTTTTTTGTTTCTTTTTTTGCTTCTGGCAGTGGAAGCTGGGCAAATTTTCACGGTGTTCAAGCACTGTCTGGGAAAATTCAAAGGTTCTGAAAATCAAATTGGCCACTTTCCTTGTTTTAAGGAATAGTCTCCCATTTTTTTTTCTCCTTTCCAACTTTCTGGCTCTAATATAAGGTTCTTCTCGTCTGTACATACCAGTGAGAGGGAACTATGTAACATATTTCTTCTTAATCTGATAATGCTGCTGATACTTTACGATGTCCTGTAAAGTCATGACAATGAGTAGCTGGAGAGAGCTACAAAGCAATCCTATCTCCGTATAAAACCCTGGTGTCTATATGAAACCAGACAGAAAGAGTCTTTCTGATAAGAAGCTTGATCTTTTGGGGCTGAGGATGGTGGAGTACCTCGGAGGAGGCAGGTTGAGAGGCTGGGGCTAGCATGGAGCTCCAAGGAGAGCTGTCCAGCACATAAGCAAGTTGAACTAGGAGTAATAAACTCCATGGAGCTGGCTTGGCCCTCCGCTGAATATGATGCTGGATACATGTGAAGTGTCTCACTGCAATGGATTTTTTTTCTTCCCCCATCAACTCTTCAGAGAAAGCAGCTGTGGAATTGAGCCAGATGTTTTCCTAGCACTGTCCAACTTCACACTGTGTAACTGACTTGAGGTGTACAAGCCAAAGCCATGACTGTTGTAGAGAAATATGTTCAAGACTGTCTTCTGCTAGCTAGTTCCCATGAAGGTGACTTTTTTCCCCTCCTTGAAGACTTTTGAGGTTTTTTAAATACGGTTAAAAGGGTGTTTGTTCTGTGGTAAAGAATGAGTATGACATTATTGCACGTGATTAAGATAATGACATTTTTAACCATTTCTTTTTTCATATGAATGTTAATTGATGTATGCGTTAGATCTATTTTTTTTGGATCATTCAGCTTGTAAAAGTTATGAGCTAATGCTGTAAAGAATGTCTTCCTTACTTGTTAAACAAGACTCTTTACCACTGCTATTTTATAAGAAAAAAAACCCCGACTGTTTTATTTTTCTTAGCATGTGGGTATCAGTGGATAAAATTTTGTCTTTAAAAGATGTTGTAAAAAGAAATATATTTTAACATTGCCTATTTTTAGGCTTTTTTTATTCTCCCAGATTTAAGTACATTTATCTTTGGTTTTGTCAGGTAACTATTAATTCTGAAGTGGACTTACTGTTCTAGTAGAAAGCAATTCCACTATAAATAATCAGGACACAATCTTTACTGACTCTGAACTGCTCTTACTTGGTTTCCAGCATCTGAATGTGATGGACATTTCCTCCATTCATTTTTAAAGGTTTCTTTGCTGAATTTTGAAATGTTGTTTATGTTTGCACAAACTTTGTGCTTTGTTGTTTCTGTCATAGAACTTCTACCCTTTGATGAATGTTGATGAAAAAATAAGTTGAGGAGGATGACAACATTCAGCCTTGAGTGCTTGAGTATGCATTTAAAAAATAAATATGTTTTCCACAGCAGGTTCTGTTGTAAGTGGCAGGATCTTTGTTGCTTCACCCATCTACTTTGTTCTTTGTGATGCTTGTTTCCACAGAAGAATCCACTCTGTTTCCTTAATGTTTGGTGATGATTTCCTCAGTCTCCTCTGCATGTTTTGTTGCTTCCAGAATCAGTATGGGCTGCATGATTTATCACAGAGCAGAATCTGACTGCTGGATTACCGCAGAACCTATTTTAGCAGAGAGGACTTTCATCTTGTTTTTTGAAGAAATCAGCAAACTCTTTAAAGGACTTCTTGGCATTGTCCTACTTTACTGTGGGACCATTATAAACACATTTTTTTCTTGTACTTCCAGAATTCTAAATTAATGATTGAAGTAATGGTGACAAAATACTCCCATGTTATGAATAAACGAATGTGTGAACTACATGTTCTTAGCTTTCATGTGTTTCCAGCCAGCAGAAGCGTTCTGCAGGCTTTTGTCAGGGAAAACTTGATCTGCTGCATACATGCTCTTGGAAAATGTGTCTGCTTTCTGATTATATTTTCTTGTTTTTCTCCTGTGTGTGTGTGTGCAACCAGGAACATCGACTATAGTAGAAAGCTGAAAAATGTAAGTACATCACTTGGAGTATTTTTATTTTTTTTTTATTAGTCTGGTTAATCCTGCATTTGGCCTGAACAAGAATTGTGTCAGTAAAAACTGAGTACAGTTGAGTACTGCTAAAAAGTTATTCTGAATACAAACCTAACCAGGTTCTGTTGTACTAGAAAGTTAGGTAGAACTGCAATGGCAAAGCAGCCTTACAATACAAATAAACTAGAGAAAGTTTGTCTCTTCTTAGATAAGGAATAAATAGTGAAATCTCTGTGCTATCCATTGTGGTATTCACTGGGAACAGTTGGACTTGCCCATAAAGCTGTGCTTCTGTAGCCTTTCATGAATATATAGGCATAAAGTACATTTGCACAAAGCATCTAAAATGAAGCAAAATGGTTGTTAGATCTGGATGCAAGTCTTTGCTATCAGATTCGCTAGCTTTCTCATTCTTCTTCCAAATAAGTGAGTGTTTCCCCAGAAGGCTTATTCCATTTAACTTCAATTTCTTACTAATTTAACCTAATAGCAATGATAATGCATTCTGTAATTATGAAGTGGAAAAGAAAATGGCTAAACTTTGTTGGTCTCACAGTTAGTTGTTCACCTAAAGCCTAGCAAGATGTCTGTCCTTAGTCAGCTGTAAATTGCTAGAAATTCAATTTTATATTTGGCTCACATCCCTATAAATTGCTAGGAAACACCAAGACCTTTTCCTAATAACTGTGCAAGCCAGTAATCATGACTGCAGGTAAAAAAAAATAATAAAACTCACCCAAAACACCAATACCTCCCCAAAGAAAATTCATCCTGTGTTTCCTATCATCAGTTGAGTAGTATCTGCTGCATCCAGCACCCAGTGCTGCAGGGGAAGAGTTCAGCTTTGGCATTTTAGCACTTGTGAGCACTGCCTAAATATCTTTGTACAGATGTATTGTTTTAAAGGTAAAGTTTCAGAAGTATTCTCTACAATGTGCTTGTAGGCAATATATGCTTTCCAGGTGCATGGTCCTGCAACCTCAGCTGGCAGCCAGTTGGAATTGCTTGCAAATGTGATATTATTTGGGGAATAAAAACAAACAAAACCAATGGATAAAGAAAGGAAGAAGAGAGAAAATGATCAAATGCTAACAGAAATTAAAAATACCACAATCTTCATCAGAGAACTGAATGGCAAAATTAACTGGGCAGTTTCCTGGTTGCTAGGAATACTATATTTGCAAGTGTTTTCACTTAACTTGAGAACATGTAGTGTAAGAATTTTTTACATAAATTTGTTGACTAGTGCTGGTTGAAGGAAAATAGCTCGGATGAAGGTTGTTTGAAGATAAAACAATTCCATATTGTTGAAACCACCTCCTTTCACTCAGCACAGTAGTATCAATTTGGATGTAATTTTAAAAACAAGGGGAATATTTCTGAACTTTATTAAAAATGTTATTCGTTTGTTTCATGACATGTATGTTATCTAATAACTAAAGGGAAATACAAACGATATATATAAAATATTTTACATTATGCACCATGGTTGTTTTTAAACAGGGAATCTATGTGACACATGCTATGTCCTTTCGTGACAAGGCCGCAGCTGTGTGTGATTTTGGATATCACTCATGAAAAATGGGGATGTTAGAGAAAGTTGAGGAGAAAAGGCTAATCGAAAGTCTAGTATATGTGACTGAGGAGGAATGTGGGTGCATGTTTTAGGGAAGAGGAGTCTAGGAAAGAGATGACTGTCCCCAGCGCCCCCCTGGGATTTCTCCTAGTGCTATTTTCTTTAGGTTGCTATATACTATGAATTACATGGCCCTGTCAAAACATAAAATACTATATTTCAGTGTATTTAACTTTTTTAAGACAGTTAATGGCAACTATTATTTATTATCGGTTGCACATCTTTTCTACATCAAAGTATTTCCTCTTTGTTCTGCAGTTAAATACTTTGCAATGTCATGGAATGTGCCAAATAATGAGCATTAAGTGAGAAAAAGCCCTAAGTTCTGAGGTGATGGTTTGGCATTTTTAATCAGTGCAAAACACTGAACTGAATTGCCTTTGACAATCAGTATCCAGTCCAAATTGCTGCTTCACAGGTACCATTAAAGACAATGCTTTAAGTGGAGATGTATGTAGGTGCAGAGGACTGTCTTTGGGGGTATTTGATTTAACCATCATGAGCATTTTAATTTCTCCTTTCCTAAAAAAAGTGCAATACCAGCAGCATCAGATTTTTTTGCTACCTGAAGGAGTGAGAGGGTATATAAACATTTGCAAGAGCAATTCTTGGCTTTTCTTTTTCATGCTATTTTTGAAGTGACTTAAGAGTTACGGAGAGATATCAAGTCAGAACTTCAATGAAACCACTAATTCATTCTGTGTTAGTCTGATAGGAGCAACCAGATGCTCATGGCTTTTGATTAATCTTGGGCTAAGCATTTCTTAAGCTAGCAGAAGCCTGGAAGTAAATGTTCTCATGTCATCTGGTTAATTACATTAAGATGATTAAAAATGAACTGCCTTTTCTGTCCTTGAAAAAGGCAGACACACGTTTGAGAAGTTTTATTTATTCCGTTAGTCTTGATGGTTTTCATTAATGACCACTAGTGTTAGTACTTGTTAGGGATTTTTTTCCTATTGGATTTACAGATATATATTTATAAGTGTGTCTCCTAGACAGTTTCAAATATCTTGCCTAGTTTTTCTATTCAGTTTTATATTTGCTGTTTATTTTCCAGATAGACATGACAGTTTAATGTTTTTCTAAAAATACCAGAAAGATATGTTAAGTTACATACTCTGTAGGACTGTTTAAATTTTCATTGTTAGCCAATGCATTTATGTTTAACCACTGACAGACACTTTCAATTCTGTTTTATATATGACGAAGCCTTATGCCACTGTACAGTTTAGAATAAATGACATGCTGAAGGTAAGCAGGTTTAGGTAAGTGACTGTGTAGATGGCTTCAATTAATTCATATTAAATTTTGCAGGTGTTAGTCACCATTTATTGGCTAGGAAAAGCGGCAAACAACTGTACATCATATAGTGGATCAACCCTCAACCTGAAGGAGTTTGAAGGTTTGCTGGCACAAATGAGAAAGGTATCTTTTTTTGTTTTGGGAATGGAAATTTCATTTGGCTTATTACTCCCATAAATAACCTGTTTGTTGCGGAATATGAGAGAAGTGGGGGGCTGGAATACAAAGTGCTTACTAAACCCCTACCTTCTTCAAAAAAGTTTCTGGCTCTACCAAGCCATGAACACAACTTTCTTTGGCAGCCAACTTCGTGGCGATATCAGTGATGCAGCACATGGTGTCAAATAGGGCTTTAGAATTTTCATGTGACTCTGTCATCTTCATTTCCATGTGTTTTGGTTTCAATTATTTTAGGCCCACTATTATTAGGCCCGCTGTAGGAGACTTAGGCCCACTGTAGGAGAGGATCGAGTTTGAGATCATCTTAAGAACCTGGACGTGC